ATGCTTGTAAGATATTGAAATAATAAAATAGTTGTATTCAATAAATTACTTCTATTACCATACATATTGAATAATGAAATAATGGAATTCGTAACCGATCTATTTAAATAGAGAAACGAAACTGTTAAAAGAGAATCAAAATCAAAAATAATATGCGGTTGAAAAATTATTTTGTTCAGTTTTATACGACAATATATATTGCTATTAAATTCGGTATTTTTTGCAATAACAGAAGAAGTATTTTAAATTTGCATGAAGGAAACTGACAAAATGGTAAAAATAAAAGTTGAATTAAGAAATTTTGATGTTTCAAATTTAGCTGCACATTTCGAGTTTGCTTTCCTGTCCTTCAAACATAAAGCCATTGGAAAATTTCTAAATTTAAATTTGAATTTAAAATGAAATTCTTATGCTCATGAAGTAACGCAGATGTCTCTTACATCATCTATCACATTTTGATGAGAATCATTTTTGTTTTCATTATGCGTCCTTTACCAAACGAAACATTACCGACTGTTCTGATTTGAATAAAATTTTCTTCTTTTTTGTTTTTCAAAATTTTTCTTTTCAAAAAGATAATCTATTTGATGTTTGTTTCAGCTGCAATTTTGTATTTGATGAGGTTGTCGATGCCACTAAATTCTAATTGTTTTTCCTTTTTTTATCTTTTTCATTTCCTATCTTCTTCCTCTCCTGTGACAGACTAATAATGCTAATAATAGGTAATTCAACAAATTTTTATCACTGACATTTTCAAATATTATTGAAATTACTGTAAGATATAACATACGATATAAGCATACTGCTATCCAACATTCATCCAATTCAACTTATTTTTATCCAATTTTTTTCTACTATAAGTGAGAAAAAGCTAAGAATAAATATATGTTGGAAATTATAACAATTTAGCAATTGGCTATCATTTTGAATTTAAAAAAAAAGGAAAAAACGAAGAAAGTGAACATTTTTAAGAAGATTAAAATTTTTATGTAAAAATTTACAAAATAAGAAACTGTTTTAATTTAGAATGCATAGATTATGAATTATTTCTTTTTGTTATTTCACATTTAATATTTTTCATTTATCCACTTCCTCTTACATTCTCATTTTCAGAAATCGAACAAAGCATTAATTAAAAAGCTTAGAATTATCAGTCATTGGTAAATACTGCACTGCTATACTTCTCGAGATTTCATAAGGGATGTAGGATTTGGAGTATATACGTGAATATGTTTGTTCATATCTTCAAAGTTCAACATATGCTATATTATGCCTTTATGCCCTCTTTCTTCCTCAAAATATGCTTAAATATTTCGAAAAGACATGAAAGAATTAGCCGCACCGATGAGGTAGTATTGATAATGCGCGAGGATGCTGATGATAGGTGGTGATATTTGAATGATTGTGATGAAAGAGAGGAAGAGAGAGAGGGAGAGAGAGAGAGGAGGAGGAGGAGGAGCGGGAGAAAAGTTGGAGATAGGAAGGAAACGATGCGGAGAAAGATGGTGACACAATGGCGACAGAGATCAACAACGGATGGGAGGAGCGCTCCGCCCTTTGTACCGCCTCCGAAAAACCGAATAATTGCAACGAACTATCCGCCGTCAGTTCAACCAAACCGACAGGCACAATTGAGACGGGAAAAGTGAGCTATTCGAATAGGAAAAATGGTTCTTGCGCAACTTTTCTTAACTGATTTTATCTCTATCATATAGCTCTCATATAGCATTTTTCGTGAAAGAACGGAATTATTGTGTGGATAATTTTTTTGAAAAGCAGCAATCCGGAAAAAGTGTAGAATGGGAGATCAATACTTTTGCAATACTTTTAATAATTGTTTAGTGAAAAACCCAGCTATTAATTTTTTTTCAAAGTCAAATTTTATCATTAGCATTGGGTATTATTACTTCGTGATCAATTTTTTTTTTCATTCTTTTAATTCATATAAATTTTAGCTTTTCAAAATTTCGAAAACAATTCATATTCGATTATCTAATTTTTCCAGACGATAGAAACTGTGTAATTTTAGAAAAAAATTTATACTTTCTAATTTTTTTTTTACAATTTTCAATTTTCATTATAATTTCATGTTTTGTTTTGTCTGTTTTTTTTTCCGCTTCTTTGAAACTTTTTTGCAACTTGTATACCTGTAATTCGATGAGCATATATAT